AAGAAAGTATTCTTTTACGAGTAGTAAGAACTGTGCTAGCTCCGTATATAACCATGTATAAGACAACGACTTATCACGCACAAATACGTATATTCCAAATATATGGATTAACTGTAGCGTTAGTTATGACATTGTTCTTCTGTTGAAGTTTAATATATTGTATATAACAATAGCGAGTTAGTCGCTGAAGTGTGTAGATTATCGGGATAAAGTGAATTAGAGCTATTTACTACAAAAAAAAAATAAACATCTTTCGCATGTTGTTGTTTGGGGCCACTAAAAGATATACTAGTAGGAACAAATGCGACAGTTTAAACTTCACTATTTCATCATAAAAAAAAAACAAAGCATATACAATGGTCTTTATCAACTTTACTATATAATAAATAAAATAAAAGTTAGCGGATTTTAACTCGTTAGTTTAGACCTCAGAATAATCTCTAAAATATTCCATTAAATTGATTAACACGTGTGTCGTTTAACGTTTATATCTTAATTAAATCCAAAATTTAATGATTCAAAACAACTAATTCCAATGTAAATTATTTCGAACTATTAAAAGCTAATCAAAAACAAATAAAAGATGTTGCAATATCTCATCTTATTTCCAAGATTTAGTGGAGTTTTCCGTTAATGATGCAAGTCATCGCCTATTAAAGAGCGTTTTTGTGTATTTAAAATATATGAGAAACGCTAAACAAAAAAGAAAACAATAATTATTAATGATAATTAATCACATCTAAATTCTGCGGTATCAAGCACATACTGGTGCTACATACATTCGTCTCATAGCTTATCTATATACTACGTTAAAGTTTGCTGAGGGCCAAAAACAAAAACCAAACAAAAAAAAAACAGACTTGTCTGCTTTGTTACTAAGTTAATTGTTATTAAATTTTTTTTTTTATTTTTTGCTATCTAAACAAATACGCACGCGAAAATAAAATAACATTCAGTTGTATTAGCTATTCAAAACTTGGACTGCAGATACCTTCTCTGGTACAGAATATGGTGTTATTCTTTTAAATTGATTCATAACTCATGACTCATATTGGGGTAAGGTACTGAGGGAGATAGTACATAGTATAAAACATTTGGTTTCTTCAAGTGAACAGAATTATTTTCTTAAACAGACTGATCTTTGTCTTATTATGAATTACAAATGGAGTTTATTTTGAAATTTTTGATACATCCCATACTTAAGGCATATTTTCTAATAGGAAGAGAGGGACAAAAAAATAGTAAAGTCTAGTCATATGAATTTTTGCTGAAAAACAGAAACTACGTGCTTGGTTAATTGTTATATAATAAATTAAAAAGTACAAAGACAAAAATCCTATATATCATTGTTTATATAACCCTTATTATAATAACCCTTATTTTGTAGGATTATGTTTTTCTAGTTTCAAGAGTGGTTGGATTTACATTCCGGACCTGGTTTTGTTTGTACAAGTGAACAAATGCCGTTCACCTCTACTGACATGCACCTATAAAGCATGTAATCTATTTGGGTAAGGTTAGGTTGTATTGACAGCATTGCATACCAATTGAGCCCAATTGATCACAAACAATGATCCATTGTGATGCTACGGATAAAAACGTTGCTTATACGTTAGATCAAGACGACTATAAAAAAAAAGATATAAAGATCATAGCGATCTGAACATAGACAACGTCGAAAAAGACACGACTCTCTATTTAAGTAAAAATGAATCAAACTAACAAGTCAATGAATTTAGCTGTGTCCCTAATTTGGAATGACGATAGCTCTATTAGGTTGGTTAGAAAAGGGACCCAAAGATATTCAAGTTTCTACTGGCTAAAGATGGGCATTTGCACATAAGATGATACACAGCTTACTGTTTTTCTGCAAAGGAGGAAACTGTGAATGTGTTTGGATTACAAAACAATATTATATTTATTTTTATTGCTTTTTCATGTAAAAAATACACTCTCTTTGTTCTGATAAACAATTAGAGATATTTTTAAAGTTGGTTTTAGCCAATTTGTTTTTTTTATAAATGCTAATATTATATCATATCGTACTCTTAAAAGAAAGATCCGGGTGCTGGTTATAGTGGCAGCTCAGCAAGTATTCTTTCATTATCCATAATTATAGATCTTTCGCTGTTTTACTAAACTTTCAGGGCTTTAAGCTAGTTTCAATAATTATTGAATTATTTAGTAGTAATAAAGTAGAAAATAAATGATCCATTACTAGATCCGTAGCCAGAAATTTACATCAGCATAAAAACAAAAAATTAAATTATTAAGCAGTCAAGATACATTAATACTGAATATAAATATATATATAACACTGATATATATTTTTACTAAACTTTCAGGGCTTTCAGCTAATTTCAATAATAATTGAATTATTTAAAAATAATTTGGAAACTAGAAAATAAATGATCCATTAGTAGGTACGTAGCCAGAAATTCACATCAGTAATAAAAACAAACAATTAAATTATTAAGTAGGCATGATACATTAATACTGAATATAAATATATATATAATACTGATATATAGTTTTTGAATCATTTTGGAGGTTATATGATATTTAATATTTTTGAATTATTCCAAGTTCACTGATTATGGGATCGGTATTTGGCAATACTGGAAACAGTTGTATGGTCAGCCAAAAATTCAATTAATTAAAATATTCTAAAAAGTATTTTTCTTGTTGCAGTTTTATTATAAATTTTTTTTTTAATTATATTTTATTTAATGTAATGTTCTAAATCAGGGCTGTCCAAAGTACGGCCCGCGACATGTTTTTAGTCTACTACAATTACGCAAATTTTCTTTTGGTGTTATTTTATATTTATGGTATATCAAATATGTGAATTTAAATTGATAAATTTATAAAACTAAATTTAACATTATAACCGTATTTATAATAACAACTATGAACGTATGTATTTGTTTCTGCGGCCTTCCAATCTGTACAGTAAATCTGAATAGCCCTGTTCTAAATAAAAACCTTTAAACTAAAATAGAAAAATTTATCACATGAAACTTAAAATGTTAATATTATTTTTATTAATATTATTATTAAATCTTCTATCTCCTTTTGCAGTTTCTTTACCTAACCATATCCTTAGCCATATAGAAGTATTTGTAGTTCGTATCATATTATCTGCTATATAGATTTAAATGGGTTACCACAGGAAAAAAATCTACTAGAACTCTCTTGTAGTAGTAGTATGTTAGCTTTAATTTACTTCATTTCAAATATGTTGTATTACATAGATATTTATAACAATTATATTATATATATAAAGTTTACATCTATGGCATTTTCGCCGTCTGCCGAAAGTTTAGATTACTCTTATAATAACTTATCTTAAAAGTTCTCTTGTATTATCTCAAGATTCTTAGAGAAATTTTTTAGTTTTTATTTGGTTATATAAATAAAAAAAAGTTATTTTAAAAGATTTATGAAAAATCCTAAGCATGAGTAGAGTATGATAGTATGTAAGTTGGTTAACTCTGTCTTGGTTTTATCTTGTCGCATGTTAAAAAAATATATATAATATGGGGGTAAATATTACTCCACTCTTGATTGATATATTAGAATATCTATTTCTTGTAGGTATTTAAAGAAATATTTTTTTTATTAAAAATTTACACACATGTAATAGTTATTATTAATTATAAATCTTATCAATTGCAATAGTTTTTGTTTATATAACGAAGGGACCTGAAAATCCATTTATTATATAATAATGGAAGTTAAATCGATGTTTTTTTTATTATATCATAAACTCATCGGAAATGATAAAGATAAACTAGAAAATGCAATAAAATACGTTGACGATATTAAATAATAATGCTTTATGGACTACGTGCAATTTTCATAGCCAAGATAACGCACTACATGAAAATACAATTAACGCGAGTATTTTGAGTACATTTAAAGAAAAGTGTCTCGCAGAGGTTACATCATAATTTTATGAAGAAATGGTAGAGCTTAAATAATTAATAATTCTATCACTTGTCAAAAATTTAATAAAATTAAGTTTAATTTGTTAAAAAATATAATTATAAAATCCCTTTGAACTCTCAAAAATTATCAACTAATTGAACACGAGCATTGCCAAGGTCACAATTCACTACCTCCTTCCCAACCAAAAAAAAAAAAACAAAAAAATTTTTCACACATTTCATAAAAACGAATGCCAACAAGCAAAAAAAAAAGCTTGAACGCGTGAGAATTTCTTGTGACGTCACGCACAAGTTTTTAACACTGAAAGTTGTAAAAACCAAAATCCAAATTTATTTGTCAATGACAGGAAACTGAAATTTAATTATTTTAAGGAAACACTCACCAATTAACATGAACGGCGATTCCTTTACTTTTCGTGATAATTTGCTTCCTTGGTCTTCATCCCCAGCCACATTAAAATATGATTTGGAACTCATTTTTACTAAATGCGTTAGAAAAATAAAACTTAATAACTGTCACTAACTTTTACGTTAATAATGATATATTACCACAATTTGTAAGTGGAAAATTCCTTTCGATTATTTAAATATATTAATGGTTTGTATAGTCAACCACTTAACCAAAGAGTCGAATGTATAATGCAGAGAATGGATTATGATGAAATTTGCAAATTATAACATAACAATCATCTCTGACTTTCTCTGTTTTGATTGAGTAACAGAAATTCACAATAGCACTCACAGCTGACAGTTGCAGAGTTGTAGTTTACAAAATGCAAAATATGTTTAGTAAATTGTAAAACAATATTTTATATCAAATGTTTATTGTGAAAATGATTTTTTTTTTTTTATAATCAAGATCTCAAAGATATAATTGTTGTCAACAGATGTTATAATAAATATATATATAGCATTGTTTATGAAGTTTACTCAAGTGTGAGCGCAAACGATAATGCGTGTGCACCTTCTTTCAGTGTTGACTCCAACATTTTTGGTATGATAATAAATATTCTGAAAAATATTATCATTAAATTATTTTGTTTATTTATTTAAAAATTAAAAATCAAGATTTAAAAATTTCTTCACTGTTCAGAGTCTTCTACTTAAAATTGATTTTTTGTCATAGGGCAAAATTAATTAATTATAACTTATTTGTGTGTAGTATGGTACAATTATATATTAAAATATTTTTAGGTTTGTGTTAAATAATATGGTATTATTCTTAATTATGGACTGACTGGTAAAATAAAATATAATTGTTTTTATTAAAAATTTACTCTTTGAGAGAATGAATTATTGAAATATTTACTATAAAGGAAACATAAATAATTTCTTCAAGATGAATTTTTCAATTATTTAATATAATTATTTAAATCACAAGTTTAGTTTTTTGGATATAAAAGCACTTCCATAATTCTCTAAAAATGACTACCGACAATAAGTTGAAGTATTAAAACAAAACAAGTAAAGTTTACACAAAAAATTTTTTTTATATTTATATTATTCTATATTATATTCTATTTGTTTAATCATAATATGTGAGTATTATATGACATATCTCTTTACGTATCAACATTTAAAAAATTCAAATACGCGGTTATTTATTGTGAATTTAAAATATGCTACATAGACATTCAGCTGATTTTTGCAATCGGCGATGCGTCTGATTGGCGCAAAAATATTAGTATTTGTTATTGTGAATGACCGGTAAGAACTACATATTTCACAATTCTGCAATTCAAATATAGTTAAAAAAGTAAAAATATAATATTGATGGCTTCAATTTGGAATCCAGAAGTTGATGTTTGCTTAACAGACTCAGATGATGAAGATGTTGATGAAGGCGGACGAGATTGGAAGAGCGGCCGGGAGTGTATGTTGTTCGTATTAGATGCAAATCTTTATGCCGACGAGGAGCGTTTTGTTCAAGCATTGGAGATGATACGTAATGCTTTCGTATCGGGTTTACTTATGAATGATAAGGATTTAATGGGTCTCATGTTGGCAAATACAGAACACAGTCCTGATCCATATGAGCCTGGTTGTTTAGAGCACATTGTGGTGCCACAAAATTGCGCAGTGTTCCTGCCACTTCATCAACTGACTAAATACATAGTTGAACATTTGCTACATTTTCTTGCAACAGCATCTGATAAGTTTGGTGAAGAATATGGCTATGTCAGTCGAGGTACCAGTTACGCTAGTATGTTACGTTTATGCTTAAATCTTTTCGATAACGCTAGTTACGAGTGTAATAGTGCAAAAATAGTGTATTTAACTGATATTGAGTGTCCACATACATCAGATTCTCAAGAATTTCAAATGGCATTACAGAAAGCTAATGATTTGGAAGGGAGGGCGATGGAATTTCATGTTATACCAATGAAAGATGATTTTAATTATGATTTATTTTATAAGGAATTTCTGTGCTTAGTAAAAGGTAGGTAGTCACGAAATTTTGTATATTATGTATTTAATAAATTTCATAATTTCTTTCAGCAATCGATATTGAGAGTTTCCAGCCTGCGGATCCACAACAGCTACGTGAATTATTGTCGAATCGTAAACTTAAGCAAGATTATTCACGTCGCACTTTGGGTCATTTTAAATTTTCCTTAGGTGCTAATCTTGAAATTTCGGCGCAGTACTACAATTTTTTTAAAAAACGTTTATACCCACGTAAAATTCGAGCATTAAGAAAGAATAATGCTATTGTACGTTCCAAAAATGTTATTACGGTTAGTAAAAGAGATGAGGCGACTTCGGAAATTATTGAAGAGTATGAGGTAAAAAGCACAGGTGGTTGGTATCAGCTTTATACAGGTGAAAAGACCATTAAAATAACACCAGAGCAAATATTGCGTGTGAAAAATATGCATGCACCTGGCATGATGCTGCTGGGATTCAAACCTAGTTCCACTTTGGACAATTTTGTACCCCATAAACCTTCCAATTTTATGTATCCGGATGATCAAACTATTATTGGTTCGAAACGTTTATTCCGTGCGTTATGGCAACGTTGTCGTGCACGTAATAAAATTGCTGTGTGCCTATTTCTGCGTAAGAAAAGGTCGATACCACGTTATGTGGCACTTGTGCCTGTATCCACTGAAGATAATGAAGGTAGCGATATGCAGGATTTACTTTCTAGAGATGGTTTTAAAATAATTTATTTACCAATGGGCAAACACATACGTCACATAAATTTCAATGATTGGAATATTGAGAACAATGAATCACCTCCGGAGGGTGTGGAATTGTTTCAAAAAATTATTAAAAAGTTACGCATTAACTATCAACCAGCAGTCATTAATGACCCAGGGTTGGAACAGCTACAAGCTAGAATACTTGCTTTAGCTTTGGATATCCAAACTGATAATGATGGTTTGACAGTAATGCCAAGCACTGAAAAGCAGGATGAACGCATTGCCAGTATATTGCCAAAAATAGAAGAAATTTTTGGAAAAGATGTAGAGGTAGCTAAAAAACGTGCTGCTACAGGAACTGCTGAAGAGACAGCGTCCAAAAAAGCCAAAATAAATGAAGACGACTTAAAAAAATATGAATATGTTCAGCAACTAATAAGAAACGAAGCACTTATTACATGCACAAATGCACAATTACGTACTATTCTTAGCACTCACTTTGAAGTTACTCCGGCAAAAAGTACAACTAAGCCAGATCTTATCGAAAAAATTAAGAACCTATCCAATTAAGCATATAATTATATTATTGTTAAGTATTTTCTGAACTCCATTTATTAATTTATTTGTTATACGTAATTGAATTTTTATATTTTTTCTAATTTCACATATTGTACTACTTAAACAGTATGTATAAATATATATTTATATATGCGTTCACACATTTAAAAATATATTAATATTTTTGTTATGATAGATGCAGTTTAATATTACTCGGGTACTACGATTTCATAACGGATTTACGTAAATCTGGTTAATTTCTTTCTTTGCATAATATGCCGGCATAACTTCATTCTAAAGTTATTGAAGTTGAAGAGTAAAATCCATACATTGATCACTCTGTCAAAAAAATTACGTACAAAAATTACATCAATGCAAAATAAAAATTTTTGACCGCTAAAAATTCAAACAAAACTCTCGTAGGAATCCACTATAATTAATAATCTGCAACTTTTACATTAACCACAAGTATAATAGATGACACAAATCATGCGTTGTTTGCATAGATGCAGAAATCTATTTATGTATTAATTTATTTAATTAATTTATCCCAGAATTGGCATAAATGTTTGCATTTTTTCCAGTAGATCAACAATCTGTCATTTCGGTAAAAGTAAGTTACCATTATCCAAGTAAATGATAGAGGACAAGGCCCTTATTGAACTTACCATGTTTTTACACTGGTTAGATATTCGCAAATGCTTTCAATAATTTTTTTGCAGACAAACTTTAAAAATAATAGTCTTATATAATTTAATATTAAAATCTTGTCAAAGTATAGCCATTGTAACTCATATCCTACCAGGTATTATATAAACTGGTATGGGCGTGCATTGACACGCTGAACGTACTCGGCTGGAGCAATCAGGTTCACCTAATATGGATTCCGGGAAATGCTGGTATCCAAGGTAATGAAATAGCAGACAAACTTGCAAGAAGAGGCGCAGTCTCAAGAATGATAGGTCCAGAACCATTCTGTGATCTAGGTAAAGGAACTTTATCCATTCTTATGAATGGTGCACAGAAAAAAGAAGGATAACTCTAGTGGGAAAGGCCACCAGGACTCTCACAATCTAAAATACTGTTAGGGACTTGCAACCTAAACCGCTTCAAAGATTGCATAGCACAATCAAAAAACAACCTAAGAATTATTGCGGGATTATTGACCGGTCACTGTAGAGTAAGGTCACGAGTAAGTTACGAGTAACGGGCACAATAGATCTTTTAGGTCGCAGTGCATATTCCAAAACGTAGACAATGTAAATGCAGAGTTAGGATTTAGATATATATAAATAGGCAAAAGTAACTAGTGACAAATATATTCTACTTGGATTAATAAGGTACATTCTGTTGTTCCAAAATTGCCCGTAAAACCATTTCGTACATTTTCATAATCTTCTTAACTTATCCTTGTCAATACTTGGTATCTTAGTTAAATTCTATATTAGGTAATGATTCAGATATTTTTGCCTAGATAAAAAACAACAAGCGGTACAACTAGAAGAAAAATTTTTTTGCTGTTCAATCTTAACTTCTGCTTCAGCCACTTTTGTCCTAATGCAATTTGACTTTTAAACTTGTTAGACACATATTCGTATATAACTATAATTTCTTTACCGCGGGTACTGCTATAATCATTTAAAAAAGCGTTGTAAATTACTTTAATGCACCGTATTTCCGATTTTATTTATTTCATTCTGGATCAATACATAAAAATGCTAATACCGTGATCACTCTGGTAGCGACAGACTAGGGGCTCTCAATCATTGGCCTACACCATTATCACCATTGGGCCGTAAAATATTGTATTTTCGCCTCTAACGACATTTTTTGGTAAGATAATGGTATTAGTATTTGCAAAAAACATTGGGAAAACATTTAATGTATTCTTGTAAAACACATTCAATATTTATATGATGCGCAATACGTTTTGGACTGAGAAACTCTGGTCTAGACTACTAGTTCTGTAGAAAGTGCTTTATATATTAAATGTTTTTAAAAGGTTAAAACTTATTGTAATATTTGAAATATCCAGATAAGTAGTTTTGAAAAAATTATGTCTTAAAGATTAGCATCTATAGATTTCTCTGATATCCGTTACTTCGTTTAGTATTGAAAATTAGCCCTCGTTTCTGAACGATTTCTCGTTTCTCTTTTTTATATAAAGAGTTTTGAATTCAATCGATTTAGCAACATAGTTTAGTACTGCATATTGTGAAATTAGTGGTACATATCTATAGCTGCTAAGTAATGCGTTCTTTCTGAAGAGGTCAATGCACATAGGCTACCTGACCAACGATCTTAACCAGCTTAACTGACTTAACAAAAACAGCTGTAGTCAGATTTTTTGTGACTGTCAAGCTGGAAAAGCTTGATCTGAGTCAGAAAATAATATTGTGCCGGAAGCATTTGCTAATACTGTATGATATTAGAAAACTTTAAACGACAAACATTCGGGACTTCTTTTGTTCATTAAGAAAAATTGTTAACACAATAAATCTACTTGATTATGATGCTTCGTTTTATTTAAAAGAATGTTGTACTTCTATTTTGACAGACAATGGTCTTGGAATTATTTTAAAATGTGCAGGTTAATCTTTAAATTAATTCTGTGAATAAAAATTTTGGAAACATGGTACAGACAGTAGCGTATGCAGAGGGTATTTTGGGGTTCAAATTCGTTCTAAAATAATTCGATCATTTCATACTACATTTAATGGGTTTCTTTCAGTTAAATGTGTTCCTTAGAATTAGTTTCCAAACACCACCTCTAAATGAGTCCAATTTGACACCATTGAGAACATACGTATGTAAATTCTCTTTTCTAAAAATATACTTAGGTTTACATAAAACTATCCTAAAACAATTTAAATTAATTAAATGAAATAATTGAGTTAAGAAGAGAAAGACGTTACTCATATTTGGTCCACTTTTTGATAATTTCTTCAATAAAAAGTGTAAAACGAAGTAAACAACTTTTTAGTTGGCGCCTAACTGCAAAGTACCCTTAAGGACCTCCTTATTACGGAGCAACAACAAAAATACTAAATTGCAATAATTTAAGCAACAATGTTCCATTTTAGATTCTTTATTTTTTCTTACGGCATGCAGATCGTATGCATAGCATCCTTAAACTATCTGTACTTGCTGCATCCTTCGCATTCAACTATGGAAAATTAAAAACTAAATGCATTCATTGTGCATGTAGCAGGAGCAAAAAAAAAAAAAGAAAAAATGGAAAAATAAAATAAAAAAATGGTTTTAAAAAAAGGAAATAATAAAATAGTACAAAAGGCAAAAATATTTAAAAACGTAAAACTAAATAAAAAACTATAAAAAAATTTAATAAAAAATGATTAATGTACGCGCAGCTGAAAGAGGCGAATGGGTGAAACAATATGGAATATAGAAAAAGCCATGTGGAATCATTTAAAAATTTAACAGCAACCCAAGTTAACCCCAGTAGCGGAGTGGCCATCTTGTTAGTCGCACTTAAATGTTTGAGTGTTAGTCCCACTGCATTGGCAATAGGGGTTATGGGTCGCATACACACATAAACCCACAGACCAATATGTACCCATTTTTTTTTATTTAAGTTGGAATTACTTGGCCTGGTAAGAAGGCAGTATAGAAAGGAATAATGTGCTTAGCGTAGTTATCGCTATGGTTAACCGGTTGGGCGGCAATTTTAAGTTGCGGACGACGGCTGCTGCCATTGTTTATTATTTGCGAAACTGATACTTGGCAATAAATGGAGTAAATGATGCGCATTAAGGTAAAGGTTTTATGGCTGTTGTTAGGATAATTAGATTCTGAAGTGTGTTTGGTTAGAAAGTGGAAAAGACTAACCAAGGCTACCATATCTTTTGTCAAAATAACACGAGAGGGATGATTAATTTTTATTAAAATAATTTGTAAACGAACTTTTTTTTTTGTTTCACGACCAATTCATAATTGACGGTTGATATTGATCATTTAAAATCGTTGTTATATATATGGTATATCGAATAGGTACATACATGTCCATTATTAATAATTTCACACCTTTACACAAACCTTCTAAACATTATGCGATATTTTCAAGATACTGAAAATTTTATTAAGAAATATAATAAAAAACACGACTAAGAGAACCGGTTTTAATATATATTTTGTTTATCAAAATCCAATCAGTAGTTTTATGGCCAATTTTGTACTTCACTTCTTTTTAATTAATGCCACATATCGTAATTATTATGATTATTGCATATCGTAACGTACCGTAATGTATACGTTTGGTCATAAAACCTACTGTCACTTTTTAAATAATAAAAGTGTACCGTACCGTACTGCATCTGTTTTCCTTATTTTAGATACCATAGTAGCTATGGTTATCGCATATCGTACCGTACCGTACCGCATCTGTTTGGCTATGAACCTCATTATTATTTTTTTTTTTATAAAAAAATAGCTGCCACTTTTTATGCCACAATGTCAGAATTTGGTTTTTCAACAAAACTTATACCTTTATATAAAATGCTGTTAAGTAGCATCATCTACTGAGTTAGCATTGGGAAGAAATATTCTAAGTTGCCTTGTCGTGTGATTTTTTTCAATCAAAAGAAATGATCTGGTGCTGGATTTATCAGCAGATTTGACCTGTATTGGCACAATATTCTACGAAAGTCAGAGTGGCGTTTTCTAACTTAGAAAAACAAACGAAACAAATCAGAGGTCCTCTGGTAAAGACGTTTCTATCAATAAATAATTTTCCTTAGCGTCATTAAGAGACCCACGTCATTGTTGACATCTATAAGTTCGAAGTTCTAAAAGAAACTAGCGTAGACACCAAAAATGATGTCAGCTTAAAGAATCAAAGAAGAATCACACTTGCGAATAGAGTATACTTTAGACTCAGTAGGCAATCAAGAAATAAAATTCTCTCTGGACTAACAAAAGTTATGCTGTACACGTCTGTTATCAGATCATTCCTGCTGTATGGTGTAGAGCCTTGGACAGTAACCAATAGTAATAAGATAATATAAACTCGCTTACACATTGGCGACGAGTATTGAATTGGATGAACGATGAATTAGATAGC